AAAACTTATCACATCGATATAGAGGCAATTGATCTAGGTGGACTCTCGGATTCAAGTAAGATAGTAATTGATGTAATTGACGTGAATGACAATAGCCCTGTTATAAATATGATATCAACATCAGGCTCAGTACCAGAGGATTCAGCACACAAAACAGTGATAGCTTTAATGAGTGTAAATGATCCTGATTCAGAAACCAATGGGAAAGTCAACTGTGTGATAAATGAAAACATCCCATTTGAAATTAAATTTACGTCAAATAATTTCTATAGCATCGTGACAGACAGTGATTTGGACAGAGAGAGATCCTCTGAGTATAATATAACAGTGACGTGTTCTGATGAGGGAGTGCCCTCCCTCTCCAGCAGCGTCACTCTCACCTTACAGATCTCTGATGTGAATGATAACGCGCCTGTCTTTGAGAGGAGCTCATATGAGGCCTACATTGTAGAAAACAACACACCAGGCCTCTCTATATTCACAGTGAAAGCCAGAGACGCTGACTGGAACCAGAATGCCCGTGTTTCTTACATACTGGAGGACTCCTCTGTTAACGGAGTGCCAGTCTCCTCATATGTGTCCGTCAGTGCTGATAGTGGAGTCATCCATGCAGTGCGCTCTTTTGACTACGAGCAGATCAAAGACTTCCACTTCCGCGTCAAAGCGCAGGATGGAGGCTCCCCTCCACTCAGTAGCAACGTGAGTGTGAAAATACTGATCCAGGACCAGAACGACAACCCTCCTCAGGTGCTGTACCCAGTGCAGACTGGTGGCTCTGTGGTGGCTGAAATGGTGCCTCGTTCAGCAGATGTGGGCTATCTGGTGACTAAAGTGGTGGCTGTTGATGTGGACTCTGGACAGAATGCCTGGCTGTCCTATAAACTGCAGAAAGCCACAGACAGGGCGCTGTTTGAAGTGGGCTTACAGAATGGAGAAATAAGAACTATCCGCCAAGTGACTGATAAAGATGCTGTCAAACAAAGACTGAGTGTTATAGTGGAGGACAACGGGCAGCCCTCTCGTTCAGCTACAGTCATTGTTAACGTGGCGGTGGCGGACAGCTTCCCTGAAGTGCTGTCTGAGTTCACTGACTTTGCACACGACAAGGAGTACAATGACAACCTGACTTTTTACTTAGTCTTGGCTTTGGCTGTAGTTTCCTTCCTCTTCATCACGTGTTTGGTGGTTATTATATCAGTGAAAATCTACAGATGGAGACAGTCTCGCATCCTGTATCACTCCAGTCTCCCTGTCATTCCATATTATCCACCACGTTACTCAGACACTTTGGGGACAGGGACTCTCCAACACGTGTACAATTACGAGGTGTGCAGGACGACAGACTCCAGAAAGAGTGACTGTAAGTTCGGCAGAGCCGGTAGTCAGAACGTGCTGATAATGGACCCCAGTTCTACAGGGACGATGCAGCGGATACAGAGTGACAAGAGCATCCTGGATGAACCTGACTCTCCTCTAGAGGTTAGAGTGTTATAATTCTGATAATAAAACGCATACTTGTATTTAGTTTTACTTTTCAGTGATGTCATTTACAGCTCACACCCTTTCAGTACCTCGGACAGCGACAGTACAGCATATCTTGTTTTTTTTTTTTTTCTTTTTCTTTATGTTTCCGGATCACCTAAAGGGTTTGTTTCATTTGTTTTAGATGATTGCCTTCATATTTTGTCAGTATCTGTTGTCATTCAGTCGGGGAAATATTGTGCTATTTTTCATGAATCCGCATATAAAGCCGTATCAATAGTGTGAGCTGAATGTTGCTGTACTGCGGCCATGGCGGTAACAACAGAGGCAACACTGGGTCTGTTTCTTTAGCTTGTGTAATTGCCTGTTGTGAACTCGGTGGGCCGCTGTTGACCAGCGTCTTGGCGTTTAGATTTATATTTATATACTAGGACATCCCCTGTCCTTTCACACTGGAGACGGACTCCGAAGTGAAACGCACAGTCGACGGTGGATAAAAAAACATGCACGGAATATCATGTCGGAATAATACAATCGTCAATTGTTGATTTAATGGACATTTCTTCATTTTTTATTCTCTCGGTGAGGCTGTTTGCGAAAAGGATGAGTACACGTTAATCTAGTTCGACGGGTGAGCCTGACAGAACAATGAAACGGCAAGTACTGTTGTTTTTCTCGGTCCTGTGTCTCAGTTCAGTGTTCGGCCAGGTCAGCTACTCCGTTCCCGAGGAAATGGCCAGAGGCTCTTTGGTCGGTAACATAGCTCAGGATTTGGGTTTAGATGTTAAACGACTACAAACGGGTAAAGCTCGCATCCACACGGGAGACAGTGCAGAACACATCCAGCTTAACAAGGAAAAAGGACTCCTCCTTATCAAAGAGAAAATAGACCGCGAGGCACTCTGTGGGCAGACAACGCCTTGCGCTTTGCATTTTCAGATTGCTTTAGAAAACCCAATCGAAATATTCCCGATTACAGTCGAAATCATAGATATTAATGATAATGCTCCCGTCTTCGAAAAGGAAGAGAGGCGGTTTGAAATCAGTGAGTCTGCAGTCATCGGCTCTAAATTCATGCTAGAGAAAGCAATAGACCCTGATATAGGACTGAATGGTCTTCAGAGCTACACACTGAAGCCAAATGACAATTTTATGCTTAAATTACATAGTCAGTCTGATGGCGGTAAAAAGGTGGAAATGATTTTGCAGAAACCTCTGGATAGAGAGAAACAGGAATCTGCATCATTATTGCTGACGGCTGTAGATGGAGGAGAACCACAGAGGTCTGGCACTATGCAGATTCATATCACTGTTTTAGACGCTAATGATAACGCTCCTGTTTTTACGCAAAACATTTACAAAGCAAGTGTAAAGGAAAACTCCCCCACGGGAACACTCATTACAAAAGTGAGTGCATCTGACGTAGACAAAGGCTCAAATGGAGAGGTAACCTATGTAATCGGAAACAGCATGAGGAGCATTTCAAAATTATTCCTCATTACCGAGGACGGTCATCTCATCTTAAATGGGCCTATTGATTATGAAAAAGCCAAAAAGTATGAGATTGATATCGAGGCAGTCGACCGAGGAGGTTTATCTGATTCAAGCAAAGTGGTGATTGACGTAGGTGACATTAATGACAATAGTCCTGTTATTAATATGATTACATCATCAAACTCAATAGGAGAAGATTCGCGTCCCCATACGGTGGTAGCAGCTATGAGTGTAAATGATCCTGATTCTGAAGAAAATGGGAAGGTGCAATGTTCAATTAATAAACATATACCGTTTACAATTACCCCTACATCAAGTAATTTCTATAACATCGTGACAGACAGTGATTTAGACAGAGAGAGATCCTCTGAGTATAATATAACAGTGACGTGCTCTGATGAGGGAGTGCCCTCTCTCTCCAGCAGCGTCACTCTCACCTTACAGATCTCTGATGTGAATGATAACGCGCCTGTCTTTGAGAGGAGCTCATATGAGGCCTACATTGTAGAAAACAACACACCAGGCCTCTCTATATTCACAGTGAAAGCCAGAGACGCTGACTGGAACCAGAATGCCCGTGTTTCTTACATACTGGAGGACTCCTCTGTTAACGGAGTGCCAGTCTCCTCATATGTGTCCGTCAGTGCTGATAGTGGAGTCATCCATGCAGTGCGCTCTTTTGACTACGAGCAGATCAAAGACTTCCACTTCCGCGTCAAAGCGCAGGATGGAGGCTCCCCTCCACTCAGTAGCAACGTGAGTGTGAAAATACTGATCCAGGACCAGAACGACAACCCTCCTCAGGTGCTGTACCCAGTGCAGACTGGTGGCTCTGTGGTGGCTGAAATGGTGCCTCGTTCAGCAGATGTGGGCTATCTGGTGACTAAAGTGGTGGCTGTTGATGTGGACTCTGGACAGAATGCCTGGCTGTCCTATAAACTGCAGAAAGCCACAGACAGGGCGCTGTTTGAAGTGGGCTTACAGAATGGAGAAATAAGAACTATCCGCCAAGTGACTGATAAAGATGCTGTCAAACAAAGACTGAGTGTTATAGTGGAGGACAACGGGCAGCCCTCTCGTTCAGCTACAGTCATTGTTAACGTGGCGGTGGCGGACAGCTTCCCTGAAGTGCTGTCTGAGTTCACTGACTTTGCACACGACAAGGAGTACAATGACAACCTGACTTTTTACTTAGTCTTGGCTTTGGCTGTAGTTTCCTTCCTCTTCATCACGTGTTTGGTGGTTATTATATCAGTGAAAATCTACAGATGGAGACAGTCTCGCATCCTGTATCACTCCAGTCTCCCTGTCATTCCATATTATCCACCACGTTACTCAGACACTTTGGGGACAGGGACTCTCCAACACGTGTACAATTACGAGGTGTGCAGGACGACAGACTCCAGAAAGAGTGACTGTAAGTTCGGCAGAGCCGGTAGTCAGAACGTGCTGATAATGGACCCCAGTTCTACAGGGACGACGCAGCGGATACAGAGTGACAAGAGCATCCTGGATGAACCTGACTCTCCTCTAGAGGTTAGAAGGTGTTACATCACACACGCTACCCCTCATTAACTTGCCATTACTAATGGCTTAAATCAAATGCACCAGTATTTTGTATGTTCGATTGGTATTGTGTTTTCAGCACCTTGGAGAGCAACACGAAGCATTTCAGTGTGCGTAATACTCAACGTGACCGAAACAAAGTGGTCACTTTTCACCCTCCATATTTTGAATATCGAGATCTTTGAAATGTTTTTTTTTTACATACTTAGATTGTATTTTAGTTGAGAAGAAAAACGTTATCTTGTAATTCATAGTAGTATTACAATTTAATTTCAGTCTTTGCACGATATTTTCCCCCTCTTCCCCTCTGTCATATTTTCTGCAGTATTGCTTTCTGAACTCCATGGGCCGCTGTTGCCTAGTCTGTTGCAGTTGTAGTATATTTACAGCAGCACCGCCTCTTCATTTCGGTGTATTAGAGAGAAAGGGCAGGCACAGATCGCATTGTCTACGGGAGAGGAGCCGAAAAACACGACGAGGCACAACTCTCTTTCTCTGGCTTCAAATATGAGGATTATTTTTGCTTCAACTTTTATTTGAACACTTGTCCATCTTTCTGACGGATTCTACGAGGTTGCTGTTTGTTTTTGCCGAGATAATACCGAACAATGAGACGGCAAGTACTGTTGTTTGTTTCGATCCTCTCTCTCAGATCAGTCCTCGGGCAGGTCAGTTATTCTATTCCGGAGGAAATGGCGACAGGTTCTTTGGTCGGTAATATAGCTCAGGATTTAGGGTTAGATGTTAAACGACTGAGGTTGGGAAACGCTCGGGTTTATTCTGGTGACAGCGGAGAGTACATCGAGCTGAACAGCGATAGAGGAGTCCTCCTTATTAAAGAGAGAATAGACAGAGAGGCTTTGTGCGGAGATACGACACCATGTGCTGTGCATTTTCAGATCGTGTTAGAGAATCCTATGGAATTTTACAGCGTAACGGTGGAAATTACAGATATCAACGACAATGCGCCTACCTTTGAAAAAAACGAAATTAAATTCATAATTAGCGAGTCTGCGGTTGTTGGTGCTAAATTTGTTTTGGAAAGAGCAGTAGATTTGGATGTCGGTATAAATGATCTCCAAAGCTACATACTCAAGCCAAGTGATAATTTTTTACTTAAACTGCACAACCAAGCTGATGGTACAAAGAATGTTGAGATGGTTTTACAAAAACCTCTGGACAGAGAGAAAAATGAGTTCATGTCTTTGGCGCTGACGGCTTTAGATGGAGGAGAGCCGCAGATGTCAGGAACAATGCAGATTCTCATCACAGTCTTAGATGTCAATGACAATGCACCTGTTTTTACACAGCAGATATACAAAGGCACTGTAGCTGAAAATGCTGCAAAGGGCACGATCGTGACCACTGTCAGTGCGTCAGATGCTGATCATGGGTTAAATGGAAAAATAACATACTCAATTACAAACACTTTAGATGACATCAGACATATGTTTGAAATAAATGAGGACAGTGGTGAGGTTAAATTGATTGGACATTTGGATTATGAGAAGAAACGAAATTTTCAGATCAATGTGCGCGCAAGGGACAACGGAGGACTCACAGATTCATGTAAAGTGATTGTAGATGTCGTTGATATTAATGACAATAAACCAACAATTAAAATCATGTCTAAATCAACGACTATATCAGAGAGCGCTAACCCCAACACAGTGGTTACGATGATAAATATTCAAGACCCAGACTCAGGTGAGAATGGTAAAGTTCAGTGTTTTATAAATGATAATATTCCCTTTGTATTGAAATCTACATCAAATAATTTCTATAGTTTAGTGACAGACAGTGATTTAGACAGAGAGAGATCCTCTGAGTATAATATAACAGTGACGTGTTCTGATGAGGGAGTGCCCTCCCTCTCCAGCAGCGTCACTCTCACCTTACAGATCTCTGATGTGAATGATAACGCGCCTGTCTTTGAGAGGAGCTCATATGAGGCCTACATTGTAGAAAACAACACACCAGGCCTCTCTATATTCACAGTGAAAGCCAGAGACGCTGACTGGAACCAGAATGCCCGTGTTTCTTACATACTGGAGGACTCCTCTGTTAACGGAGTGCCAGTCTCCTCATATGTGTCCGTCAGTGCTGATAGTGGAGTCATCCATGCAGTGCGCTCTTTTGACTACGAGCAGATCAAAGACTTCCACTTCCGCGTCAAAGCGCAGGATGGAGGCTCCCCTCCACTCAGTAGCAACGTGAGTGTGAAAATACTGATCCAGGACCAGAACGACAACCCTCCTCAGGTGCTGTACCCAGTGCAGACTGGTGGCTCTGTGGTGGCTGAAATGGTGCCTCGTTCAGCAGATGTGGGCTATCTGGTGACTAAAGTGGTGGCTGTTGATGTGGACTCTGGACAGAATGCCTGGCTGTCCTATAAACTGCAGAAAGCCACAGACAGGGCGCTGTTTGAAGTGGGCTTACAGAATGGAGAAATAAGAACTATCCGCCAAGTGACTGATAAAGATGCTGTCAAACAAAGACTGAGTGTTATAGTGGAGGACAACGGGCAGCCCTCTCGTTCAGCTACAGTCATTGTTAACGTGGCGGTGGCGGACAGCTTCCCTGAAGTGCTGTCTGAGTTCACTGACTTTGCACACGACAAGGAGTACAATGACAACCTGACTTTTTACTTAGTCTTGGCTTTGGCTGTAGTTTCCTTCCTCTTCATCACGTGTTTGGTGGTTATTATATCAGTGAAAATCTACAGATGGAGACAGTCTCGCATCCTGTATCACTCCAGTCTCCCTGTCATTCCATATTATCCACCACGTTACTCAGACACTTTGGGGACAGGGACTCTCCAACACGTGTACAATTACGAGGTGTGCAGGACGACAGACTCCAGAAAGAGTGACTGTAAGTTCGGCAGAGCCGGTAGTCAGAACGTGCTGATAATGGACCCCAGTTCTACAGGGACGATGCAGCGGATACAGAGTGACAAGAGCATCCTGGATGAACCTGACTCTCCTCTAGAGGTTAGAAATTGCTAGCTCTCGGTTTCTTCGTGAAGTCACGCTCTAAATCACTCTCCTTCTATTTTCAGCACCTTGGAGAGCGACATGATAATCCATTCAACATCATGTATTTTTTATTAAGTTACATTTACAGTGTCTATTTAAATAACACAATGTATTTATCAAACGTTTACATTTCATGTTCCTCATATAGGCACAATTTTCATCAAGCAGCTGTAGTACCTGTCCACTCACCGACGAGGTGTTTATTCTTCGCTGATTTTGATTCTTAACCTCGCCATATCTATTTGTTTTGTACATTTCACATGCAGTTTTACTTTATGAACTCAGAGTGCCGCTGTTGGCCAGTCTCTATCAGATTTACCGCAGACTCGTTGTACCTCCCACCGTGTCTTTATTTTAGAGAGAGAAAGAGACAGAAGCAGAGCACATCGTCTGGATTTTAACGGAGACACAGAGCAGGAAATATATTTCTCGTTGGGAATATGCTTTTCAAATCGGCGTTGACTGGCAAAAATCGGAGGGTGTACACATAAAAGCCATTCTTGTGTACACTGGAATAACGTCGGACAGAACAATGAGAGGGCGAGTACTGTTGTTTTTATCGTTCCTCTCTGTCAGCTCGGTTCTCGGTCAAGTCAGCTACTCCATTCCCGAGGAAATGCCAAAAGGTTCTCTGGTAGGAAACATGGCAAAAGATTTTGGCTTAGATGTTAAAAGACTAAAATCGGGTAAAGCTCGTATTTTTACTCGAGACAGTGGCGAATATATTGAGCTGAATAACGACAGAGGAGTCCTCCTCACCAACGATAGGATAGACAGGGAGGCGCTTTGTGGTCAGACGACGCCTTGTGCTTTGCATTTTCAGATCATATTAGAGAATCCGATGGAATTTTACAGTGTAACTATAGAGATCACAGATGTTAATGATAACCCTCCATCCTTCGACAAGAGTGACGTCAAATTTAAAATTGGTGAATCCGCTGTTAGTGGGGCTAGATTCATATTAGATCGGGCAGTTGATCCTGATGTGGGCACAAATGGATTGCAAACATATAAACTTGAACCGACGGACAATTTTGTTGTTAAATTACACGATCAAGCAGATGGGACGAAAAACGTTGAAATGGTCTTAGAGAAACCGCTAGACAGAGAAAAACATGAACACCTTTCTTTGGTTCTGACGGCGGTGGATGGAGGAGAGCCGCAGATGACAGGAACAATGCAGATTCTGATCACTGTTTTAGACGCTAATGACAATGCTCCTGTTTTTACGAAGCCTATTTATAAAGCCTCTTTAAAAGAAAATGCACCAGCAGGAACAGTAGTAGCGACAGTTACTGCGACAGATGCAGATCATGGATCTAATGGAAGAATAACGTATTCAATTTCCAGTATTTTAGATAATGCCCGTGGGTTGTTTGAAGTAAATGATGAAAGTGGTGAAATTCGGCTCAAAGGAAATGTTGATTATGAAAAAGCTCGAACGTTTCAGATAAATATCCGTGCAAGTGATGATGGAGGACTAGTTGACTCCTGTAAAGTGATGATTGACGTCATCGACATGAATGACAATAAACCTGATATTCATATAATGTCTAAATCAAACGTGATATCAGAGGATGCCAAAATTGGTACTGTGGTGACAATGATAAATATTCAAGACGCAGACTCAGGTGAAAATGGCAGGGTCCAGTGCAGTATAAATAATGATATTCCTTTCGTGATGAAGCCTACGAACAATGATTTCTACAGTTTAATTACAGAAAGTGGTTTAGACAGGGAGACAGCCTCTGAGTATAATATAACAGTGACGTGTTCTGATGAGGGAGTGCCCTCCCTCTCCAGCAGCGTCACTCTCACCTTACAGATCTCTGATGTGAATGATAACGCGCCTGTCTTTGAGAGGAGCTCATATGAGGCCTACATTGTAGAAAACAACACACCAGGCCTCTCTATATTCACAGTGAAAGCCAGAGACGCTGACTGGAACCAGAATGCCCGTGTTTCTTACATACTGGAGGACTCCTCTGTTAACGGAGTGCCAGTCTCTTCATATGTGTCTGTCAGTGCTGATAGTGGAGTCATCCATGCAGTGCGCTCTTTTGACTACGAGCAGATCAAAGACTTCCACTTCCGCGTCAAAGCGCAGGATGGAGGCTCCCCTCCACTCAGTAGCAACGTGAGTGTGAAAATACTGATCCAGGATCAGAACGACAACCCTCCTCAGGTGCTGTACCCAGTGCAGACTGGTGGCTCTGTGGTGGCTGAAATGGTGCCTCGTTCAGCAGATGTGGGCTATCTGGTGACTAAAGTGGTGGCTGTTGATGTGGACTCTGGACAGAATGCCTGGCTGTCCTATAAACTGCAGAAAGCCACAGACAGGGCGCTGTTTGAAGTGGGTTTACAGAATGGAGAAATAAGAACTATCCGCCAAGTGACTGATAAAGATGCTGTCAAACAAAGACTGAGTGTTATAGTGGAGGACAACGGGCAGCCCTCTCGTTCAGCTACAGTCATTGTTAACGTGGCGGTGGCGGACAGCTTCCCTGAAGTGCTGTCTGAGTTCACTGACTTTGCACACGACAAGGAGTACAATGACAACCTGACTTTTTACTTAGTCTTGGCTTTGGCTGTAGTTTCCTTCCTCTTCATCACGTGTTTGGTGGTTATTATATCAGTGAAAATCTACAGATGGAGACAGTCTCGCATCCTGTATCACTCCAGTCTCCCTGTCATTCCATATTATCCACCACGTTACTCAGACACTTTGGGGACAGGGACTCTCCAACACGTGTACAATTACGAGGTGTGCAGGACGACAGACTCCAGAAAGAGTGACTGTAAGTTCGGCAGAGCCGGTAGTCAGAACGTGCTGATAATGGACCCCAGTTCTACAGGGACGATGCAGCGGATACAGAGTGACAAGAGCATCCTGGATGAACCTGACTCTCCTCTAGAGGTTAGAAATTAATATTGTAGAAGCAAATCCCAGCCACTTCCAATGTTCAGTACCATGGACAGAGACTCGACGTCACAATATCTATCTATCTATCTATCTATCTATCTATCTATCCATCTATCTATATGTCTGTCTTTCTGTCTATCTTGTAAGAAATAATGACATCTCAATCCTTATTTACATGGCTATTTCTGCAATATCTACTTACGTCCCTAAGTGCCGCTGTTGGTTAGTGTGAGGAAAATAAGGCTCTTTTTCCTGAGTGACGTCCTCCGTCTTCTGTCTGGTGCGTTATTAGACCTCTGTTTTAATCGGAACTATAGACTGACAAAGCCACCCGCCCAGCATTCAGGAATGAGCCTCTGACCAAACTCTTGTTCGGATCTTGACACGGTGGTTTTGTTTTTCCATTCGGATTTTGCGAGGGCTCTCGCCATGATGGGCGTTCTTTGTTGTGTGCCCGAAAGAAAATCTTTATCATGGTGGCCGCTGCTTCTCTGCATCTGCGTCGCAGAAATGGCTCTCGGACAGGTCCGCTATTCTATACCCGAAGAGATGGCGACGGGCTCGGTTGTCGGGAATATCATTCAGGATTTAGGCTTGGATGTTAAACGACTGAAATCTGGGCGTGCTAGGATATTTACCGAGGACGGCAGTGAGTACATTGGTCTGAATGCAGAAAAGGGAACGCTGGTAGTGGCTAAAAGGATCGACAGAGAAGATCTGTGCAAGCAAGTGTCTCCCTGCTCTCTTCATTTCCAAATTATCCTTGAGAATCCAATGGAGTTGCATCGAATTGATGTAGAGATTACAGATATTAATGATAATGCTCCGTTCTTTTCGAAAAAGGAATACAATTTCCAGGTTACTGAATCTGCCTCACCAGGGGCTCGCTATTCTCTTGAGAGTGCCAAAGATCCCGATGTCGCACATAATACTATTCAATCATACAAACTTAACCCGACAGATAATTTCAAATTAAATGTAGTTTCTCGACCTGACGGAACAAAATATATTGAAATGGTTCTTCACACGTCGCTCGACAGAGAAAAACAAGAGGAGCATAAATTAACTCTGACAGCATTTGACGGAGGAAGTCCTCAGAAATCGGGTTCTGTCAAAATTAATGTCATTGTTTTGGATGCAAATGACAATGCACCAGTATTCAGTCAGTCTGTTTACAGGGTAACAGTTTCAGAAAACGCTTCTCGGGGCACTGTTCTTGTAAAAGTCAGCGCCACTGATAATGATAAAGGAGCAAACGAGGAGGTAATGTATTCCTTCTCTCAGCACACCGATAGCGCATCATCCCTTTTTAATATGGATCCCCATACCGGGGAAATGACTGTAACTGGTGTGTTAGATTATGAAAAAACTAAACATTATGAAATTGATATCGAAGCCACAGACAAAGGAGGCTTGACAGACACAAGTAAAGTGCTGATTGAAGTGACCGACCTAAATGATAACGCCCCTGTCATAAGCATTATTTCCCTCTCCAACCCCATACCAGAGGATTCAGCTCTAGACACTGTTATAGCGATGCTCAATATCAAAGACTTGGACTCAGATAAAAATGGCCAAGTGAAGTGTTTTATTAGCAGAGATTTACCTTTTAAAATCAAGTCATCATCCTCTAATTTTTATAGCCTGATGTCTGACGATGTTCTGGACCGTGAAACGGTGCCTGAATATAATATAACAATAACAGCAATGGACGAGGGATCCCCGCCTTATTACACAAATAAGACTATTAATCTAAAAATATCGGACGTTAACGACCACGCCCCAATGTTCCCACAACCATATCGGACCGCTTTCATCACTGAAAATAATTCACCTGGCATGTCAATCCTCTCTGTCAAAGCCAGTGACAAAGACTCAGGGAACAATGCGCGCATTTCATACTTCCTTGAGGATAGCCAACTGAATGGGATGTCAGCCTCCGCTTATTTTTCAGTGAATGCAGAGAGTGGAGAGATACTTGCTGTGCGTTCTTTTGACTATGAGCAAACAAAAGAGTTTCATATTCGCGTCAAAGCGCAGGATGGAGGTTCCCCTCCACTCA